ACACACACACACACACACACACACACACACACACACACACACACACATTAAAAAAAAAATAAAGAAATAGACTACTGAATCATGAAAGAAAGCTGATCTGAAAAGACCATACACTGTATGATTCTAACTACAGGAAACTCAGGAAAAGGTTAAGAACTGCGGAGACAATGATGTGTAACCTGTTTTCAATCCAGGAATGACAGTAACTCATGTCTAACCTCAGCACTTGGGGCATGAGGCAGGAGAACAGAGACATATTTGAGGCTAGCCTGAAGGCAGTGCGCAGAAGATCTTTAAGGTAATGAAACTACTCCATGCTTACTACAATGATGGATTTATGCTCTGACAGTATACATTTGGGATAAATCTATAGAATGTACAACATCAAGTATGATCCCTATTATAAACTATGGATTTTGGTGGTGATGATGTATCAGTGGCGGGCATCAGTTATAACAAATATCCGCCCCTCTGGTGGCAGAAGGACCAGAAGAAAAAGCCTCCCCCAACTTTCTTATCATCTTGCTATGAACCTAAACTGCTTTTAAAAATAGCCTGTTGTTTGGTAGATTGCAGCTATACCTAAATATCTGTATTTTCTTCAAATTCAAAAGTATCAAGTCCTTTATACTTAAAGTCTTCTCTTGAAAGCAAAATACGTTATAAGAGGTATAATTAACTTATATCTAACAAGATAATAATATATATAATTAACCTATGATATAGAATAATTAACTTCACTTTTATATAAATTAATGTGTAAATTTGGCAAGAATTGAAGTATCTTCGGTCATAATTTAAGGAATATCAGATAGAAAAGGTTCAACTCTAATGAAAACCACGAACTCTTACTAGACATCGGTTGTTTTCACATTTGACAATTTGGGACAACAAAGCGGTAGAACAGAGCTCTGGACTCTGATTCTAGAAGACTTGGTCCCCAGGTCATTCCTTAGCAGTACCTGCAGCAAGTTCCCTAATCTCTGAGCCTCTCTCCTCATCTATCAAATGTGATGACAGTTTTGTTCTGAGTAAATAAAGAATAACACATGAGAATAACCAATTAGTAGTTGAAAATTCTGAATCAAATTTAATTTTTTTCAGCAAAAGTTACAAAGGGGAGAATTTATTCTTAATACAAAACACATTAGCACAGTCTTACAAATGTTCTATTTACAACTCGATATTGCTTCAGTCATCACTGTCACTTTCTGATTCACTCAGCTGCAAATCACTTCCTAAAATTTAAAAAAAAATAACAAAATTGTAGTAAGTAAAAATTTGAACTAGTAGTATTTAATATAATCATTTAGTCTATCAAAATAAATGTGCAAATGTCATGTCAAAAGTGAACTTGTTAGTCTAGCATCTTATGATTGATAATATGATTGCCTATAGTATAATTTGCCACAAACCTGGTAAACCAATCAGTACTGCCTAGAAAGTGAAAACTACAGTAGGAAACTTAGAGTTTTAGCATCACATGGCATTTATTTTAGCCTTCTTTCATATACTGATGACATCATCCCTCTTTACACTACTCATTACACCAAGAAATGAGAGAAAAAGAGGCTTTCAAAAGCAAGACTAAGCTGGGCAGAGTGGTACATGCTTGTAATCCTACCACACAGGGAGGCAGAGGCAGGTGGATATCGGTGAGCTTGAGGCTAGCCTGGTCTAAAAAGTGAGTCCAGAACAGGTGGGGCTACACAGAGAAACCCTGTCTCAAAACAAACAAAACAAAACAAAACAAAACAAAACAAAAAAACCCAACAATTCAGAGTATCATTTTCAAGAGTGAAAAACATTATAATTTTTTAAACCTAAGATACAATCCAAACCATTATGGAACAGACATTAAGAAACATTAGACTACATACAAGTCAGTGGTAAAATGCCTGCCTACTCTGCACAGAGCTCTGTGTTCAGTTCCCAGCGCTGGAAAGAATAATCACCAACTGCTCTTGTGAATCCTCTGTGAGCTTAGTCATGGAGCTAACATCTCAGTGGGGCAGAAAGAAGGGAAACAAATATCCAGCATAATGTCAAGTAGAGATAGTGCTGTGAGGAACTGTAGAGCGGGTAGCAGTGCTATTATAGATACTGTAGCAGGAAAAGCTACATGAGAGGCAGCGTTTGAACAGAAATCTCAAGTAGAAAGTCATAAAAATGGAGGCAGAGGATCTAATCTAAGAGAAGAAATGTAAATGCCACCAAAGCAAGTGTAGAGTGGTTGTGATTTTTTATTACATATATGTTTTTGGTAATTTCACACATGAATACAATGTAGTTACATTATATCTACCTCCAACTAACTCTTCCTGGACCTCCTCACCCTGACACTACATCTGTCTTTAAACTCTGTATCTTCTTTTTCTTCTTCATCTTCTTCTTTTTAAAAAATAACCCATGGAGTCCAATTAGTTTTTCCCAAATGTACAAGGGTGTAGAGCCACTTACTGAAGCTTGGGTCACACTTCTGAAGAAAACTGGCTTTCTCTCATTTAGCATCCATTATCTGCCAAGCTAGGGGTGGGGCTGATAAGATTTTTTTTTTTTTTTGACGGCTTGTAAAGAGGCTACTGTGGCTAGAATAGGATAAATGAGGAGGACAACAATAGGGAATGTGATCAGAAAGATACAGGGAAAGGCAGTAAAGACTATTTGAAACATCATGAGAAAGCATGGGACAAATTTAACAAACAACTAAGTTGAACCTAACTCCAGGCCAGTGACTACACGGCAATGGTGTAGAAGAAGCATCGAGGCAGGGAGATAAGTTGAGTCTTCTCAGCTCCTCAGAAGCAAACACAAGCTTTGACCTAGGTGTGCCAGCAGAATTGTCACCTTGTCCTGGATGCTATGTAGTTTAAGGGTGAAGATATGCCTTTATCTTCATTTACCCATTTTAGTATCTGGAGTAGATTCATGGCTGGCTTCAATACTGAGAAATTCTAAAGGTAGAGTTTTTGCACTATCCCTTCTATTCTTACTTGGAATTCCTAGAATACAATGTTTAATCCTTTCCATTTATTTTTCTTATCTCTAAACTGTTCTCTCTTATTTTTTATTTTATATTGGAATAGTACCTTAGTATTGCCTTCCATTTCATTAATTTATTTCTCACCCATGTCCATCTTGCCTATTTAGTGATCTTTTTCAAACAATTTTCATGGCCTATCCTTCCCAATTTTACTTGTACGTACATGCACGCTTGTGGGACCTAGAGGACAATTTGTGGGTATCAGTTCTCTCCTTCTGAGTTCTGGTGGCAAATGTGTCTATGCACTAAGCCATCCCACTGATGCTAATTGTTTAAGAGCTGGAGTTCAACCTTTGTGTCTTGTGTATTCCGTGAAAATGCTCTTCTGTTGACCTACTTGATTCTCATTTACAATTTATTGGATTCTGTTTTATTTCTGCTTTCCTTTGTTTTATTATACCTGGCCAGTCTAGTCTACAAAGTGAGTTCCAGAGCTACGTAATGAGACCTTGTCTCAAAAAAAAAAAAAAAGAATGGTCTTCATATATCTTTCTTATCATCACATTTTTTTCTTGATTCAGAATTGTTTACCCACTTTGAGAAGGAAGTTTCTCTCTTTTTCTATTTTTATAGTACTCTTTCAGGATTTTGTGGTTCCCTAAACCTAGTTTACAGCCCCACTTACCAGAAACAGGTTTCACAATCACATTTGAAGATTATTATCTCCTGGAGATATGGTAGGTCCCTTCAAGGAGCCAAGAGTAACAACACTCTACAAACTATGACTTCTGAAACCGCAGCCACAGTAAGAATGTAAATGGTTGCTTTTTTTTTTTTCCTTTGCCTCCTTTCACTAACTGAAGAACATCCACATATCTACTAAGCTTTCCCATCTTCCCTTGCCCTCGCCCTACATTGGCTGGCTTCCAACAGAGAACGTAACTTCCCTGCATCATGCCAAGCAATTTTGTTTGTGCTCATGTGCACGTGAGTGTGCACGTGGAAACCAGAGAACAGCTTCGGGCACTGTTCTGTGCGTCTGTCCACGTGCTCTTTGAAGACAAAATTGCTTAGCCTGGAGCTCATTATGTGGGTTTACCTGGCTGGCCAGCAAGCTCCAGGAATTCGCTTGTCTCTGCATCGCCATACTCAAGGGCTTTGTGTTTGCCTTTTTAACATGGGTTTGAAGGATTCAACTAAAGTCTTCCAGGCGCCTTCTCTCCCTAGCCCTCTTTCTAGCCACACGCTGAACCCTTTGTGCGTGTGCCTGTGTGTCTGTGTTTGCATGTGGAAGACAGAACATAGCCTCAGTTATTGTCTTCAGGCACTGGAATTTGCCTGTTAAGCTAGACTGGCTGGAACTGCCTGTCTCTGCCTCCCCAGCAGTAGGATTACCGACACATGCCTCCTCCTGCCCAACCCCACAGCTTTTTACATGGGTTCTGGGGTTGAATTCTGGTCTTCACCCTTCCGTGACAAGCACTTTACCAACTGAGTTATCACCCAACCTCCATTTCAAGCGCTAACCATTTTACACTAACCATCCTTGAAGGTATCTGCCTGCTTACTACTACATCCTTTTAAATTCAAAACCAGTATCCTTACCAAACCAGATTCTTTTTACGTTTGTGCTTTAGTTCTCATTTTGATTCTACTTTAAAAAAATTATTTAATTTTATTTTATGCATGTGAGACTTCTGCATGCATGTCTATGCACCGCATTTGTGGAAGCCCTGGGGAGCCAGAAGAAGGGAACAGATCCCCTGGACATGTCTGTAGTGTGTACCCCAACCCTGGATCCTTGGACTTCACAGGCTATAGCCGATCTAGATAAATGAGTGACCTGCGGACAAGTGACAGAAACTGTCTTTAAAAAAGGGAAAAGGTGGAAAGTAATAGAGGGAGACTCCTGAGGCTGACCTCTGACCTCCAAATGCATGTGCACACAAATGTATGCATACGTGTACACACGTATACATACATGCACACTTTACACAAGCAAATATGTAAGTAAATAAATAATAAAGATAGCAATATAATTATGTTAAATTCTACCCTCTATTGCAAAAGAAACTGTAAACTTTCAAAAGTTTAAAGCAGGAGATGTGATAAATTATATTTGAATCACCAAAAGATCAACATGGCTAATAATATACATTTTGGATCAAAATGGCCTTGACTGAATACTTGCATAAGATCAAGTCAGTGAAAAAAAATCAACATGGATGTGGAAGGGCCTCATAAAACCCCAGCCTGAGATGAAGAGCGATTGTCAGTTGATGGCTTCTAGGGAAGCAGAACTCTATTATCTTCAGAGCTGCAGCCCCTGGAATGTTGCCCCTGTGTCTGTGAATGGACCTACAGTCATGCACGTACACATACTGGCAACACAAGTGGACATAGCAGTTAAGAGAAAGGGAGAACATGGAGGTGGGAGGAAGACCTGATGGTGCTGGTTGGGAGAATCAAGGAAATGAGCTGAACTACACTGGCACTAGTAGAAAGGAAAAGAAGTAGATGGATTTGAAATAAATATTTAGGAGGTAAACCAAGTCCAAAGGACTTGGTGAAATATTGACTAAACAGAAAGGAAAGAGAGGAACTCAATTCTAGACTACAATCAGCCTACTGGTTTACATAATGAGACAGACGCTGCCATTCATTTGGCAGAAATGCAGTGAGCCAAAAAATAAAGGGTTGGTTTTTGGACGATGTATATTTGAGGTGCATTTTACTAGGAGATGAAGCTAGGCCTATCTGTCTAGGACTCAGGTCTGCATGGAGACGCTTATTTGAACATGATCAACATATAACTGCTGATCAAAACAAGAGATTGGGGAAGTTATTTAAGGAAAGAGGATAGAATAAAAAGAAAAAAGGGACCCATGAAAAAGCTTTGAGAAGCCCCAACTATAAAGACAGAGTAAATTTTAAACTTTCAAAGGAGAAAAACGGATAATAGTAATAGAATACACAAAATATTACTCTTCTTTGACTAACCTTTAGTCACAACAAATGTGGCTACAACGGCGAGTCTTGTTTTAGTTACTTACGTAAAGTACTCATCAGGAGGGCACTGTTGTCATGAAATTTATGACAAGTAGCATCAGTATCTGAAGTCCTGTATTGTGGCCTGGCAGACATGCCGGGATTCTCTGAGCTATATTTCCTTGCACCTGAAGGAGACAGTTGGTCATCATCTTCGGAATCACTAGAGCTATCCTCACTACTTGAAGATGAAGAACTTTTGGAATCTGATGAACTATCACAACTACTTATCTGGTCCATTAGACTAGCTTCTGCCTTCAGTTCTGAAAATAGAAATAACAGGTCAAATAAATAACACAAAGATACACAATAACATATAAGTGCATTAGCTTTTAAGAAGACGTTCGTAAGGAATTAATCAAACTAAGACATATATTACAGCATTTAACACATTTCTTTTAAAAATTCCTATAGCAGAAAAAATTTCTATCCAAGAAACTCAGCAAATATACAGTCTCTTGCCCTTGGTGACCCCCAGAGGTGGAAGGTAGGTCCCTATTGCTGAAGATACCATGTACTTCAGAAACAGGGCCCAGAGATCTCTTAGCTGGAACTAACTGAATGCCCCGTCCCTGAGGACTAGCTTTTGTCATGGTACCCGAAGGTGGCATGCAAGTTCCCAATGGAGAGAGGCGACCACATCATCCTGCCATGCCTATGAGCCACATCAATGATTAGCTGGGCGCAATAACGCTAAGAGAGCAGTAGTGGTGCATATACCATGGTGGTAACCAGCAGCTCTCTAATTGAACTGAAGACCCACACAGCCAGAGAGAGACCAGAAACCTAATAAACTAACCAGTGCTAGTGTAGTCATGGTTATTGGAGGAGATTCTAGAATCACCAATTTACTAAAAACCAGCATAATCTTTAATAACAACAATTTATGAACATTTGCCCTTACCCTCACAAATAAGTGTAGTCTTCACCCCTCATCCAGGAAACTTCTTTTTGCAACAGACAGAGACCACAACAAAACCCACAACCAATCAAAATGCAAAGTTGTGGGGCCCAATGCTAATAGATACATCTACAAAACACCATTGTGCCTAAGACCCAGGGAACATTGGGGAAGACGGGACAGTAAGACTTCCAGATGTTATTATCTTACAAAAAGATCAGGGAGTTTGCTGTGAGATTATGTCTCCTAGTAACTGTAGAAGCTATACAGTCTATTGCCCAAATGTTAGCTAAACAAGGATGACACAAACGAGAATGCCAAACTGGACGGGGGAAATGCATGAAGTCTCAACTCTACACAAAGAACTATGGGCAACCAAGGAAAGTTGATAATGAAGACAACAAGCCTTCCCTAAGGATGAGCACACCAATTGATTGTCCAGTGCAAAACAGTCAGCCCTGAAAACACTCAGACAGACAGACAGACAGACAGTCAGACAAACAGACACACAGACACACACATACACACACACAGCAATATATGGACTAAACAGGTTATATTCAGGAATATATGTGTATTTACATGTACATATATGTATGCAATAGGAATTAGTTCAAAAAGAGGCCATGAATTTGAAGGAGGTTGTATTTTAATATTGAGATTATGAGAATAAAAGCATAGGCAACCAGTTGGGTGAAGCATCATAATTTGTAACCCTAGCATTCAGGAGACTGAGGCTGGAGAATACCAAGTTCAAAGGCCAGCTTGAGCTGAACAGTGAGACCCTTCCTCAAAAAGAGAAAGAAGCTCAGCTGCTGAGAGCACTGGCTGTTCCTCCAGAGGACCGGAGTTTGATGCCCAGAACCCACACGGTGGTTCACAACCATCTGTAACTCCAGTCCCAGAGAATCTGATGCCTTCTGCTGGCCTCCATGGGTACTGCATGTATATGGTTCACAATTATACTTGTAGGCAATATACTCATCGACATATCAAATGAAATCTCAAAAAAAGGGGGAAAAGGGATGCAAACAATGTCTAAGTCTAACTTTATATGCATAAACATGTATCATAAATAATGAAAAGTTTAAAAGTGTAAAAATACAAAATGCATCTTATAGGAATTAATTTTTTTTCTTAGTCCCTTAATATGCACAGTGCAATGTCATTCATCCTAAGAACGTCATTCTTTTCCTAGCTGTTCTAGAGAAAGTTTTTATAAAGCTCTCTTACTCAGGTTTCTGCCCTGTTTCTTTAAAGGGGATTTAAAATATTCCAGCATTTTTGAAAAGCCAATTTCCATTATGACTTTGTTTGTGAATGTTTTTTATGGACAAGAAGGATACTAATGTTGGTGTCTTCCTTGGTGTTCTTAAAGTCCTTTTAGAAACATACAGAATTTATGGTGGGAAGATCAACATCATTCTTCAAATAAGTGATTTGAAGCAGAGAAACCAAAGGACCAATATTTAGGGGTAGAACCAAGTCTGCTTATTTTCAAGTCTTTATTTTTCTAGCATTCTATAAAGACATCAAATAAGTGAACACAGTTTTAGCCTGAAACACTATAAAATACTTAGTCAACACATTGTCATATAGTATCTTACTAGGACAGTACCATCTCAAGCTAGCTGATAACACATTCTCTCTAGACCCACTGGCTTTCCATTTTCACCCTAAGTTCTTTGCATTAGCTCTTTAGTCATTTGGGATAAAGACTATCCAAATATTTTTGCTTTTTTTGTGTGTTTTTAATACACAATCCATTACAATAAAATGTGCAGCTAAAAAATGTGCAGCTAAGTGAATTTCAGCTTAATTTATCCAGTGTATCTGCTACTGAGTAAGACCCATCCCCATGAATGTTCTTCTGTGCTTTTCTTCAAGTCAGTATCCACCATTTTGAGTTCTATGCCCAAGACTTTTTTGGTTTGTTAATAAACTTCATATAAATGCTGCCTCTCACATGTTCTATTTTGTGCATAGTTCTTATCAACATCATGTTTTCATGTTAATTTGTGTTATTGAATGACTCTGCAGCTCATTCTGCTCAACTGTTAAGATATCCATTATATAAGTACAACATACATTGGTTATCAACTTTCTGTTTATAAATAATTAGGTTGTTTTCCATTTTTAGCGGAAACAAGTTTGTGATAATAAATAAGGCTATTCTGTAAAGCCTATTGTAAGTCTTCTTGTGACATATATATTCATTTTTCTTGTGTAGAAAAGAATTGGTTTGTTTTCATTAAAACCTGCCAGTTTTCAAAGTTATATCTTATAATTTTAGTTTTTTAATAAGCAAGGATCCAAAGCAGTTTTCATAGTCATTGTTGTCTGCTATTGACTCTCAGTGTCATTGTATTGTGGTGTGAGTACAGTCTTCATGATTTTGTTTGAAATAAATGAATTAAGATTTTTCTTATAGCCAAAGACATGTTTTACATTGTCAAATACTCACTCGGTGTACACTTAAAGATGCATTCTTATTTTGTGTTTAGTGATATGTGGGGTGTGTGTGTGTGTGTGTGTGTGTGTGTGTGTGTGTGTGGAAGAGAAAGATAGAGGCAGGCAGTCACCTTGCTGGTTTATCCTATTTGGGATTTGCTCAATTTCTTGAGTCTGTGGGTTCATGTCATTAATCAAGCTTGGAATGCTTGCAGGCATTATTTTTTCCAATTATTTTTCAGTCCCCTTTTCTTTGTCCTCTGAGAGTTCAGTTGCCATAAATCTTGGAACTTTTGTCACTCTGCAACAAATCCTTGGGGCTCTGCTCACTTTGTTTCAGTACACTTTCTGTTTTAGATCAAGTGTGTTCTTTCAGTCTATTCACTCTTCAGTAAGTGGGCATACCCAGTGAGCTTGTGCTGCTGTTTTTTTGTCTGTCAGTTTTATAATTCCCATTTGATCCTTGTTTAAAATTTCTATTCCTTTAATTCTACTTTTTCACTTGCTTCAAGAGAACTTATAATTAAATCCTTTCGTGAAAGCTATATTAAGATCATGACCGGATAATTCTAACATCTAATTTCTCTGGGAGTTAATGTAGACTTCTCTCATTCAAGTCATGATTTTCCTGATTTGCAGTATAATAGGTATAACTTCCTGGTATACCTTCATTTTGGTGTGTGTTTTAGGGACAATTGGTTTAAATCTTTTGGTTTAGCAGGCAGTCACGATGCAGGTTTAGCATGCAGATGCTTGCCTGCTTTTGTGAGCTGCGGTTCAAATGACACTCTAATGCCAGACCTTTTGAGGGTCTGTTTTGGTTTTCTTGGTAAATCTCCAGCAACTGGAGTTCCCACTGGTGAACTCGACAAAGGAGCTTTACTAGCATTGAAGCCCAGTTCCTGGGAAAAGGAAGTCTGCGGCCTAATACAATAAAGACTGCTTCCAAGGCCGAGTGTGTGTGTGTGTGTGTGTGTGTGTGTGTGTGTGTGTGTGTGTGTGAGAGAGAGAGAGAGACAGAGAGAGAGAGAGAGAGAGAGAGAGAGAGAGAGAGAGAGAGAGAAATCCCATTAAGGGGGAGGAAAGTGAGAAGCTCTTCCCAACGAAGCAGTTATTTTGATAGGTGCCTCTTGCCAGTGTCACCCAGTCACTGCAGTGCCTTTCAACTGGAGAGCAAAATCTGAAGTCAGGGAAGGCAACTGGGAGATGGAGGGGGAACACGTGTTTGTCATAGTGTGATGCCATATTCGCATGCTTCTGCCCAAGCAGCTCCTGATGGGGAAGAACAGTCTCAACCCAAACACCGAGGAGCACGTTAAGACTGTTAGCACTCGTGTAGCATTTTTCCTTTTGCTGCTACACTCAGCTTCCTCCGAGTAGAAGGGGAGGGTTTTAGGCCCTGTCTAATTTCTAGAATTCAAATTACAGATAACTGAAAGATGTAAATGCAAAAACTGATGTGTAAAATTTCTAGTGCAACTTTTGGTTATCAATTGGAAAAGATGACTCAGTCATCAGAGAGTAGTCAGTGATGGTGCTGGGAAGTTGGGAAGAGCAGTTAACAGCATGCTAAGAGTTAAGAGCATGCTCTTCCAGAGGATCTAAGTTTAGTTTCCAGCACTCGTGTCAGGTGGATCACTACCACTATAATTCCAGGTTCAAGGGATCCGATGCCCTGTTCTGGCATCTGTGGGCACCTGCACACATGTGAACATCCCCACCCCTCCCTCCACGTACACATAATTTTTAAAACTAATCCTTTCAAAAAAGAAGTTAGTAGTACTGTAGGGTCAATAAAACATTTGATAGAATATAGACTAAGGGACATGCTAAATAAGCATCTCCAGGTAGATAATGTTCACCCTTGCCATTCAAATTCAGAACAAAAAAAAAAAAAAACTGTTCTTGGTTCATATTGACTGATTCTCTGCAACTTTCTTATGAGTTATGACTTCAAATCGTCTGCCACAGAAGTGCTACATGAAGGACCATCTATTTACACCACAGGAATCACTATTTCTAACTACATACAGGTATAGAATGATACCATGATTCAGGTCTATTTTGGGAGTAGCTATAAGTTAAAACAAAATCCAAGATCTCTCTTAACAGGAATTTGGAGTTAACAGCTTCCTTACTGTTGTATACTGCAGACCAATCTATTAGGGATTAGGTACTTTCTTGAGCCTAAAAAGGAACTCCTTTTTGTAGTTATTGAGCTACATGGAAATTATGATGGCAAAGTATAGAAGCAAATGATTTACTCTGATGACTGGGGTCTTGTTGCTCTTAAAATCACTGTAATATCAGCATCCTAACCGTAGCTAGAAAAAACGATGGAGATTTAAGTTTCTTCCTTTTGAACATTCTATACCTCCCCAGAAATGCCTTTCTGCTCAAAGGGACACAGCAACAGAATGGAACTTCCTCTGCTTTTATTGGCTAGGTGAGGCCTGAGACATCTACAACCAACTGTAAGCGATAAATTTCACAGGCAGATGCTACAGAGAACTGAATATGAAACCCTTTTTGCTGCTAAATAATAATAATAATAATAATAATAATAATAATAATAATAAAATTACCTGACATAATATACTTAAATGAATGTGCTAATTTATGTTACATTATTATCCCAGAAAAAAAGCACACAATCATAAAATATATTATGTTCTCACGAAGACCTATGGTTAGTTCCACTGCTAATGAAAATTAAAACTCGCACTTAAAGTTACTTACCTCTTATAAATTGACATTATATACATTTAGATTTTACCTCTTTCAATATCATCCATTAGTGACGTTGGGGACATCTTGTCTTCTAGTGGAGAATGTGGTACAAAATTGGAAGTCCTGGGTGAATTCCACATTTGTTGCTGCTGTTGTTCCAGTCTGTACTGAATTTTACTACTTCCCTCAACTCTACAGTGAAGAATATTAAATATCAAAACTGGTGAGACAGCAATGTCACAAATTCAACTTACTAAGTTACTAAACTGTATCACTTGTTCTCTAGAACCTCTCAAATGACATTTAAGAATTACTATGTTAATTCATCTGCTTTGATACCTTGCTGGGTAGAGTCTTTCATAGGCCCTCTGTGGAAGGCTCCTGTCCTGTTCCCTGTCTTCACCTACTTCTGATGTCCATCCCATTTGCCCTTCTGAATGAGCATTAAGCCTCTTCCCTAGGGTCCTCTTTGTTGTTTAGCTTATTACGACTATAGGTTTTAGTATGTTTATACTATATGTTTAATATTCACTTATAAGTGAGTATATGCTATGTGTGTCTTTATGTTTCTGGGTTACGTCACTCAGGATGATCTTTTCTAGTTCCCACCATTTGCCTGAAAAGCAGATGCTGAGACTCATAGCCAAACTTTGGGCAGAAGGACTCTTATGGAAGAATAGGAAGATAGAAAGACCTGGAGGGGTCAGGAGCTCCACAAGGAAACCAACAGAGCCAAAAAATCTGGGTTCAGGGTGCCCTGAAGAGACTGATGAATCAACCAAGGACCATACATGTAGAGGACCTAGGACCCCTGCTCAGATGTAGCCCATGGGCAGGTCAGTCTCCATGTGGGTTCCCTAGTAAGGGGAGCCTGGACAGTCACTGGCATGAACTGGACTGCCTGCTCTTTGATCACTTCCCCCTGGTGAGTGGCCTTACTAGGTCACAGAGAAAGAGGATCCAGACAGTTTTGATGAGAGCTGATAAGTTAGCGTCAGATAGTAGGGGAGAAGGACCTCCCCTAGCAGTAGACTAGGGGAGGGACATAGTGGGGTATGAGGGAGGGAAAATGGGATTGAAGGAGATGAGTGAGGGGGCTACATTTGGGATACAAAGTGAATAAATTGTAATTAATAATAATAATAAAGAAAATTTTATTTAAAATGTTAATTCATTTAACAAATATTTATTGATTTCTTCTATATATATGATCTACACACTGGTCCAAAGAGGGACACAATGGAACAATGGCAAAAGCAAAACAAAATTACTGCTCAAACTGAGCAGAAAGTACATTTATAAATGACTAAAATAAAGAGAAAAATATAAGTATAAATTATCATTTCTATTAAAACTAAATCATTTCCACATTTCCCATTTATAATTTTAAAACAGGCATGTTAACAATGGAAACCTACATACTGTTTTTCAACATTTTAATGAAGAGTACACTTCAAAATTACGTTTGAGGTCTGCCTTTCCCATTTCTTGTGATCAAATCCTGCCAGTTCCTCCTTCCCAAAGTATTAAGCCCCTCATTTTTTTCTCATTTATTTATACTTGGCAAAATCTTGGCTTATGCATTTTCTAGTTTTCCACATTGTTTCTTTTTATTCAGTTTCTTTGCTAGACTAATGTTTCAGACAAGAACTGTAAACATGCCAATCCCTAGTTTGAAAGATCTTAATATGTAACCACTGCCAGCAAGGAAATGTCCTAATTTCTTAGTTAATATTCAAGGCATTAACCCCAACCTACCTTTACAACCTAAACTCTAATCCACTACCAACATCATCCCCCACTTTCCAATTCTTATTCATGGCTGCAGAGACAAGTACTTGCTCTGTTTAAACAGGTCTTATTTACCAGCCCTGAAAGAATCAGCTATATTCCTGTGTTCACACCTGCCTTTTATAGTCACAGATCCTTTCTGGTCAGCTTAAGGGAGCTGGAGCAGTGGGGACATAAAAAAAAAAAAAAAAAAAAAAAAAAGAGGTTCTCAGGTTTCTTCTCTCCATTGAGGTTGCCTTTGGGAACAGCTACTTTTTAAAGCACATTTTTGTTAGTGTGTATGAGTTGCACAAAATAATGAGTTTCATTATGACATTTCATACATGTATAATGTTCTCTGAGAATGTTCATTCCTCAATACCTCTCCCTTGCCTTCTTCCATTACAGGAACTTCTGTTTTAAACACACATTTAAGGTAATTCTTAGGATTTTAACTTCTTTTGAAGTAAATTTTTTCTTTCTTTCTCTTTAAAAGATTTATTATTAGATCTGTTTATTTTATTTTATGTTCGTTTTTCTCTGTCTTTATGTATGAGCACCACATGAGTGCTTGGTATTTGTGAAGGTCAGAAGAGTGTATTGGATCCCCTGGAATTGAAGTTACAGATGGTTGTGAAATACTCTATGGGTACCAGGAATTGGGCCTGGGTCCTCTGCAAAAGGAACAAGTGCCCTTGACTGCTGAGCCATCTCTCTAGCCCCAGAAATAACATTTTAAACAAAATTTCCTGAAGGCTTTTATTTTTTTTTTAATTTTATTTTTCTTTTTAGTTACATTTTGTTAACTCTGTGTCCCAGCTGTATCCCGCTCCCTCATTCCCTCCCCAACCTCACACTCCCTCCCTGGTCTCCTCCCTGCCCCTTTCCAAGTCCCCTGATAGGGGAGGACCTCCTCCCCTTTCATCTGACCCTGTTTTATCAGGTATCTTCAGGGCTGGCTGCAAAGTCTTCCTCTGTGGCCTAACAGACTGCTCCTCCCCTGGGGGGGGGGGGTGTCAAACAGCCTGCCCTTGAGATCCTGTTAGAAATAGTCCGTGTTCCCCTTACTTTGGAAAACTACTTGGTTACTGAGCTACCACAGGCCACATCCGAGCAGAAGTTCTAGGTTATATCCATAGATGGTCCTTGGTTGAGTGTCAGTCTCAGAAAAGACCCTGTGCCCAGATATATTTGGTCCTTGTAGAGCTCCTATCCTTTCCATATCATACTAACTTCCCTTCTTTCATATGATTCCCTGCACTCTGCCGAGGGTTTGGTTATGGCTTTTATCAACCATGACCCCTCACTTTAATTCCCACAGTAATTTTCATCTATACTGTTTGTTTAGCTTCTGGAGTAAGTGTTCTCATATTATCTGGTTAAAATGTACTAATTATATCAAAAAAGGAGATATATATTGGTTATATTTTCTTACTGATTTTTAAATTAAGTGATCTGTAAGTGTGATTAAAATGTATAAAATGTAGAAATCTTAAGGTTAGTCTTTATATAGCAAACTTTCCTTTTTCTAGTGTTTCCATATTCTAAGTGCTCAATACCTTTTTACTAATAAGGATGAAGTTCTTCTGGAGAGTGGATAATGGGTTTGCTCAGCCCAATTCCCCGAAAATAACTCCAATAGTATAAAAGGTAACTCACATACATAGAAATCCCTTCATGCATCACCAGGCAGTGTGATAAGATCTTTTCACTAGGAATCACTACCAAATTTAAACTTAGAAAAACATTTTTTTAAATGACCTCACTTTGTGTACGTGTGTGTGTGTGTGTGTGTGTGTGTGTGTGTGTGTGTGTGTGTGTG